ATGCCGCAAATGTTTTACTGCGCTCAAATTTTTGAGTCCATTTTGTTGTCGGCGCTGCTTGGTGGGTGGTTGGGCGGCTGCTTGGTTGGCTGACTGGCTGTACGAAGCTCATAATGATGTTTGGCAAATTAATACTGCTAGCTCTCTTCCACACTGGCAGGCTAATAAAATTAAGCGCTGCTGAAAGCGGGACTGAGAGAGAAAAATGAGAGAAAGAAGAAAACGAAATTGGCTTGTGTGTGTTTGTGTGCGCATATGTTTATGTATATATATTTCTATAAGGTGCTGGCAAAATGTGTATGTGTGTGTGTGTATTTTGTGGCATGCCATAACGCAGTACTGCTCAATAATAAAAATATTTGTGAGAAATGCGTAGCTCAAAAGAAAATCAAATAGAAATGAATAGAAAGGCGTATAAGTAAATAAGATCAAACTCAAATGACCTACATGGCTGAACTTAAGATAAAAGATCAGATTCATTTAAAATAATAAAATATTTATTTACAGTGCTATGTGATCCATAAATTTTCTTTCTTACGCGGCTAAGTAGGCAACACTTTTTAAAGTATATATTCTAATGCTGACTGCTACTATAACGGTAATATAATTGGACTTTTCTGTGCAGTTCTCTTCCGCTATCTTTGGCCTGTTCCCTATTCCAGAAATTTGCGTAATAATTCATAATGAAAAAAGTTTTTCCTTGCCATGCTTACCAGTTTTTCTTTCGCTTTTATATTACATATATACGTATAAATATTCTTTTTTATTTGAAAATAAATAAATAGTAGAGTCATGACAAGGAAACAGCAACAAGAACTACATTATCATCATCATTATGATGAGCCGCCTTTGCTAACGGCGAAGTTTATCAAAAGGCCAAGTAACAATGGCGATGGCAGCGACGGAGACTGCGACGCCTCCTCGTTCCAACTCGCTTCATACAGATGCACGGACACATGCGCAGAAGCAATTTGTACACACACACACATATACACACATGCATATGCATTCACACATACATAGCTATACATGGCCACTTGTAACGTGTGGAATTTGTTTACCCTTATTTCCCATTACAAAGGCATTGCAAAAAATATTAAAATTGTGGTAAATAAACAAATTTCGAAATAATTTTAAATACATAAATACTTTTGCCATTTACTCACACTCTCTCTCACACACACACACATACACTCATCCATGAATGTAGCGTGAGCATGTACATGTTGTGCGCTCTCGCGTACGTGTGTACTCCATATTTATTCTCTTGCTCTTGCTGCCGCATGCCCAATTTGCTGTCTCTCTCTCTGTCTCGCAGGCAGCCATTCAGCCATTGCCCGTACCATGCCAAGTGGCTGCCCAATTCTTGTGGGTACATTAGCACTAATGATGATTGAAACGATAAACGTGTCGCCTCGGCCTGAGCCTCAGTTCGAGCACCAGATGCCGCGAGAGCCGAGAGAAAGAGAAAGAAAGAGAGAGAGAGGGAGAGAGAGAGAGAGAGGAGCGTTAACGAATTCCGAACTTTGATTTAAAATTTGAATCTCGTGCCAAATTTAAAGTTCAAGGAGCGAGAAGATGTGGCAGCCAACGGGCGAGGAACTCTCCGAGCAGGCACTTGCTATTCCATTTTTTCCCGCGCCGTTTTGCATTGATTTACTTTGATGGGTGCTAATTGGGGTTTCTGTGATGGTAATGATCGTTGGTATTTTGTGTAGTTTATCAAGTGGTAAATTTAAAACTTCCTTCAAACTTACAGCGAGGTTTCTTTTTTAGCCATGCACTCACGTTTTTGGAAAGCAGAACTGTAATATACAAGTAATATTAGAGGTATTTAAGGTAAAAATTAATTTTGTTTTTTTTTTTTTAATTTTAAATCTTTTTTCTGAATTTCAAATACAATCGTAAGCATAATATATTATAAATATAGAAAATCCTGAAAACCGAGGAATATACTAAGCCCAGAGAGTTCAGCGCCTATATCATACAGGAGCATCCACTACGTTTTATACATACAAACGATTGGCTTGGCTTGTGCCTAATTAATTATGGGATCTAATGACGGGCAATCGTTATGCTCCTTAATCAGAAAATATTATTTTTACCGCAACGCCATATTGTTTTCCCGTTAACAACCAGGGCACCGCCCAACTGGCAATCACCCACTCAACTATTCACCCACTCACCCACTCACCCTGTAACCAGCCAATTATCCATTTATTTCATAATTTCAATAACTTTTCATACACTCGCGTCTGCGGCACAAATGGGAAGAGAAGAGCAAAGCGCGGCGGTGAGTGGAAGGATGTTCGCTGCGATAGGTGGGCGGCTTGCTTGGTGGGTGGTTGCGTTTTATGTAACTGCTGGTGGTTGCTCCTGACAATCTGAATGATGATGATGTTACGCAGCTACTGCTGTTGCTGATGCTCCTGCTGCTGCTGCTCCTGTCGCTGCTGTAAATCCCGGAAAAATACAGAAACAAGTTGGATGCGAACCGCATCCCACACGAACATGAGAAAAATCACAGCCACGAAGCATGCAGACGCACACACACACAAACAGCGAAAGCAGCGCTGCTGCCGTCGACGTCGACAATGCTGCTGCAGATATTGTAAAAATTTTACGACCAGCAACTTTTGAATTCAGTTGAGTTTGCAACACGTTCACGTTCGCATGCGGCTCCAAACGATGTCCAGATCTTCCGATTACGCGAATATCCAATTTTCTCGACTTCCATTGTAGTTGACGAAACGCGCGCAATTGTAGGCAACATTCTTTTGCCGTCGGCTCATTCAGACTTTCAGTGAAAAAGTGCACAAAACAAAAATAATCAAAAATGCAGTTAAAATTTAATGTTTTTTAAATAAACTATAAATGATTGGAGAATACAGGGCACAGATATTTTGGATACAACTGAGATAAACAATTGCCAAAGAGGTTTGTTCTGTCATCCGTCAAATGGTCGCAAAAGTGCCCTCAAAGGCTATGTCGCGTCAAGAGACCTTAGCTAAGATTTATGTAATGAACATGAAATTGCATTCATTCATATTATTATTTACTAAATCATTTTAGTATTTAATGTCCATTTGAAAAGATTTCGCAATGCAGAGCATTCCAAATTCAATTTGGGAGTTTGACGAACAGTCTTAAAATTTAAAGTCTTATGAATCACATGGAAAGCTTAGTTAATTATAAACGCAAAGATTAATATTATGGAGCCCACTTTCTCAGTATAAGAGAGCATATAATGGCTTAACAAACTAATCTGAAAATATTTATAATAAATATAATGCAAATTAAAGATTAAACAATGATTAATCAGGAAAGTAGTTTCCCAAAATACTTTACTTTAACTTTATATATATATATATATATATATATATATATATATATATATAATTAATTAATTGTTTTTATACTTCTTGGTTTTCTTTATGAGCATTGTTTATTATTGAAAGAATTTAAGCGCTGGCTTGACTTTAATCAATTATATATCCATTGCTTATCATTATCATTAAAATCAATAAATTAAATTTGAAGCGAAATAAATATAATAGATATTATAGTATGATTCATCTACAGATGAGTAACGAAGTATATATTGTGTTTTATCCATAATTATATTAAATAATTATTTCGAGTTCTTAAATATTGTTATAACATAAATATTGTTATAGTGTCAAGCTCTAAGGAATAACAAATCACACGTAAATAAAAAATATTCTGTTTTTCATATCTTCAAAAAAAATATTCTTTAAGAGTCTTATATTTTCTTGTATACATAACATTTATTAAGGAAATTTTTTAAAAATAAATTTAATTTGTTTATTAATTTATTGTCAAAGCTCCGATATTACGCAAAATATCTATAATAAATGTTAAAATCCTCGTCATCATCAATGTCTGATAAATAATTCTCCTTTGCAATTGCCAATTAGAAGAATTAATTAATTCATCAACAAAAATATTTAATTCTATAAGGGTTTCTCGAATTTTAAATAATTTTTTAAAAAGACAACCGAATTGATTAGGCAGTTAACTAAAATATTTTTAGTTTTCAGTATCAAATTTCATACCTAGTGTTCAATGCTAAAGTCAACTGCTAATTTGAGTGCTTGGTGTTGGTCTTCTGCAGTGCTGTCCACAGTTATTTGTATTAGGTGCCTTAATGAACCTAATTTATTCAATATAAGCCACACACCTTGATTTATACCTACATCTTCATATATACTACATATATTTGCATCTGTATGTGTCTTCATATATATACATGTATCTGAAGCTGTCTGGCTATCAGATGGATATTAAAGCACCTGGCTAACAACAACAATAGCAATTCCAACAATTAAGCAGCAAACTGTGACAAAGTCTCAATTAGGCTATCGAATTGCCACAGCAGGGACAGCGACAATATCTGAGATGCAGAGATGCGCAGAGGGAGAGGGAGTGAGATAGATAGAGCGTGAATGAGAGGAGGAGAAAAGCATTGCAATTAAGTGCAATGAATGCACTCACTGTGAGACTGAGTGCGTGTGTGTGTGCGTTGGTATGGCTTTGTGCGTGTGTGTGTAGTAGTCTGCGGTCATTTGCCGTTGTATTTGGCTGGCTCAACCAGTTGCTGCTGCCCACTGCCCACCATTCATTGCTGGGTCAATTGTTTGGCTAAGCTGAAGATTCTCAACTTGGCTAAAGCAACGTATTTGAATGATGATCTCCGCCGTTGGCTCTTGTGCCAGCATTTCCCTTTTCTCTTCAAGGCGCTCAGATTACACGCACTGGCCGCTTTGGTTGTGGTTTGCCAAGTGCCACTTAATTGTGGGCATAATCAGAGCTGAAGACAATTGCAATTGCAGTCGTTGACACCTGAATGCCATGCGGACAACCAAGGTGGCGACAATTCAACATTTAACATTGCTCTTTGCATTTTTCAGCTAACCAACAAGTGAGACGGAGGTGAACAGCTCGGAATTAGCGTCGTCGACTTGTGCCAAATACTAAGCATGTTGCAGAATCCTTCCAAATATCACGCAAATCCCTTGTCGCACTTCCTGGCATTGCATAACACACAAGCCAACAGTGGACAGGGACAGGGCCAGGGACATGGACATGGACAGTTGCAACCGCATCATACACTGCCAACGGCGGCGTTGGCTGCAGCAGCGGCGGCTGCTGCAGTGACGGCAGCGGGTCAAAGTTCGTATCAAATGGAGCTGCAGTCGCACCAACAGCAGCAGCAGCAGCAGCAGCAACAACACCAGCAGCAGCAACTTCCCATTGGCCTCCCAACACCCACACAGGCACAGTCACACACACACACACACAACCACCACAGGGAGCAGCTGGCGTCTGCGACGTCGCACGCGCAGCTCATTGAGGCGGCCGCGGCGCATACCTCCCTCGATGTGGGCAAGTCGTTTACAATAGCCGCCATTTTGGGTCTGCAACAGCAGAGCAAGGAGTATAATAATGCCATTAATCTGTCGCTCAATGGCGGCACGTCAGCTGCGGGCACCGGTGGAGGCGCTGCTGCTGCTGCTGCTGAGGACGCTCTCGACCAGGATAACAATAACAGCAAATGCTACAATAGCAACAGTACCAACAACAACAACAGCATCAACAGCTACGGCACGAGCAACAACAACAATAACGGCCAAGGTGTAAATAACTTCAATTGTGATAGCAGCGGCAGTCGCTACCTGCCCACAGTGCAACATACTCTTCAGCATCCTCACACCCATTCACACTCCCAGCAGCGGGCAAATTTTGCTGCTGCCGCTGTTGTCGCCGCCGCCGTCAGTGGAGCGCCCTCCGCACTGCAGAGCCTACAACAACTCCATCAGCATCACGCACAGCAGGCGTCGCTCAGTTTTCAACGCGACAAGCTTAAGTCGGGTAAGTGTCATCCAGCGAAAATTTTGAAATTAGCCTAAGCTTTAGGTTGATAGTCAACTTCTTCTTCAACTTACTGCACAGACTCGCAGAAGAAGAGTGGACTGAAGAATAAGCGCGTGCGAACTATTTTTACGCCAGAGCAGTTAGAGTGCTTGGAGGCGGAGTTCGAGCGCCAGCAGTACATGGTCGGACCGGAGCGTCTGTATCTGGCACACACGCTCAAACTGACGGAAGCTCAGGTGAAAGTGTGGTTTCAAAACCGTCGGATTAAGTGGCGCAAACATCACTTGGAGCTGACCCAGCAGCGATTGGCACTGATTAGACAAACTCAATTGCCTGGTGGAGCAGCAACAGCAGTGGCAGCTTCAACGACGACGGCGGCTTCCGTGGAGCTGCCATTGAACGCAGGCTGTAGCACAGCCTCACCTAGCCTGCTAGAGGACGATAATGAGGATAGCAAGCAATCGCTGTCTCTGCCGCTACGTCCATTGAGTCGAGCAGCCTCCGAATCTGATTTATCCATATGTAATGATTCCCTAGACCTAGACGGCGATAGCCTTATGGATGGCAGTGAGGAGGCATAAATAATTTGTGCATACAAATATGTAAATATAGTAACATTAATATGTATATTCCCTATTGAAATATATGTATATATTTATTAGAAGTAAACTTTTTCTCATTAGTTTTATTATAATTTTACAATTACATGATTACGTTTGCTTAGCACTTATTGAATAATATATTTCTAATCTTATAAATACTTGCGTACATTTAAAGTTATCACACATGAAAGCGTTCACTTATTGTTGTGTCGCCGAGACGACCCTGTCGTAGCAGGACAGATGCACTACTTGGCCATCTGGATAGCGCACGAAGGCCGTTTGATTGGCAAAGCGTTTCCTGCATTCGGGACACACAGTGGACTCATTTATTTCGAAGCTCTTCTTCTTTTCCTTCGCAACGGCCGCCTGCAATCTTGCTGCCTCCGCTTTCAACAGTCCACGCATAACTTGACGTTGATGGCTTTCGTTCATGAGGGTACGAGCCACTGTCTCAAAATAATGTTTAAGCTCGTGCATGAAAATGTCATCGGGAAGATACTAAAAATTGAAAAGAACGAATGTAGGTAAAAACATAGGGATAACTGCTAAATAGTCGCGCCTACTTCAAGTATCTTTGTGGGATCAATTTTTGTTGTATATGTATTGAGCAAGTGCAGTGCCACTTCTTTGTTGGGTCTAAGGAAGTCAGGATGCAAGGTCACGCCCTCATAGGGCGGTTGTTGCACAGGTTTCAGTATGATCTGGAGCAGTAAATTGAACACCTCTTTATCCTCGTCATAGTTGGCCTCTGCGTATGCTTTAGCTTTTTCCACATCCCCAAACACTTGTATATATATGGCCAGCACTTTCTCATGCTTCTTTAGTCGGCCCAGAATTAAGGATCGCTCCTCGAGTAGCACTGTAGTGGGAAAGTCATCCAGAACGCGATCCGGCGAATAATGTTGCGACTCCTCTAGCATCTTGTACATCTTGGATCGCAATGGCTGCAGATCGGGTGTTTCTTTACTGTCAATTAGCGGTACATATATAATAATAATAGAATATACAGTTAAGATTGTCCGACTTACCCCTCAGCCTGCTGAGCCAGCAAGCGTTGCACTTGCTCGCTGTACTGCTTAAGAAGTGCATTGTGTCGTAGGGTATTGGTGTCATTCCATTCTTCAATGATGTGCTCTAGGTAGGGTATGACAAGAGCCTTGTGTTTGCTCAGCAAAAAGTCAAGCACTTTGGCACGAGGCAGCGCCTCCACAGCGATCAACTCATCGGTGAATATTGTAAGACCTTCAACCGGATTTTCTGTTAATACCCAGTCAGCAAATTCAAAAATTAGTGAGAGATTATCGGAGCCAAGTCCCTGAAGATAAGTTATGGTGCGTTTAAGTCCCTGCAACACGGAACCCTTAATATTAGCTTGTTCCTTTAGCAGTGTCAGCGCTTTTTTATGCTTTCCTTTGCCATCATAGAGAATGATCAGCTCCGAAAGCTTGTTGTATTTTTTCAACATTTTCTCGGACTCCTCTAGGTGACATTGGTTAAGTCGCAATAGGGGCGCGACCAGCGCATCATTTGTCTGCAGATAACACTTAAGCAGCGTAGTGTCAATTATTTCCAGCAAGGACTTGGAGCTGTTTTTGGTGTCAAGCAATTTTACCACTTCTCGTTGACGTGCTTGTGCCAGAAATTCAATGAGCGCCATGTACGCATTTTCACGGTCATGGTCCTCTAGCTTTGGTACACTAGATGGTGGGACAGCAGCATCTATAGTGTTTTTTGGCTCTGGCACCAGGCTGGGGAAGAGGCGAATCACATCATAAGGATCAATGGCAGCCTTCTCGAACTCTTTCATGGCTGCTGAAAACTCTTTATTGGTGAAGAGCTCCTTAGCATATAGCATACGTATCTGGCGTACGGTCTGTGCTTTATCGACGCCATCTTCTTCAGATATTTCCTAGAAGTGGATGCTGTAGTAGTGTTTGGGCACAGTTAAAAACTAAACTCACAGTTAGTTCTATTGCTAGTTGGAATTTCTTTTGCTGTAATAACTCTTGTCGCTGCATTCGAACGTCCGCTAGACGTATACACCACAGTTCGGATGAAGCAGCGGCAAAAATGGTGCCTTTATCGGAGCGAACAAGAAACCTAGTATTTTTTAGCTCCGGTATAGATTGTACTAAGGTGTCCTTGCCTACCAAGCTGCGCACCTCTATTGCATTTTTAACGCGTCCAATAGCAAAGGGCTCATCCCAAACTGGAAGAAACTCTTGTTAGTACTAATGGCAGTGCATTATATTGTATAATTACTTAGACCCAAGAGCGGGCTTGACCACGGTGTCAACGTTGTCTTGTTGTTCATGCCAGCGTCGACACTATTGTCTTTGGATTTATATTGACCAAGATCTATAAGCATTAGGTAGTTGTCTTTTGATATGCCCAGCATACTATTTCGTATAAGGCAAATATTGGGCTCCTGGCTTATGGTGGATGAAGTAAGGATGAGCTTATGCATCTTCGGTGAATTGCAGGATATCTTGTAACGGACAAAGACTGTGTGAAATGATAGTTGAATTTATATTAAGTGATGTCACTCACATCGTATAAAACGTATTCATCTTTGTAACCAACGCAGACAAGTTGATTAACCCAGCACAACGCTTTGGGTACATCAATCAGCTCAAGGACCAGTTCCAGAGATGCAAGTTTGTCCTTTTTCCAGAAGAACAATACTAATCGACGTCTGATAGCGCAACCTATTCTTATAAATGTGGCCACTTCACCAGTCGTCGATTTTCGTGTGTCAACATCCATGGTGAATAACGTGCAGCCCTTTGTTTCCGCAGAGCTATGCATAAATTCGAAATTGTTCTCAATGCGGCTTATATCGCACACATGAATCATGTTGTCGGTTAGAACAAATAGCAAATTTTCAGCGGCCACCACTTCCATTTGCGTAATCGGTTTCTTGCTGAAATTCTTATTGAACATTCGCATATCTACGTCTGTTTGATTTTCCACTGAGTACATGATGAGTTGACCACTCCTGGTACCCAAAATGACATGATTGCCTAGTGTGAAATATGCGTGTAAATTATGTTTATGATTATTATTATATTCTGTACTTAATTACCATATGCTGCGATGGCTTCAATTTGAACTCCCTGTTTAAGAATTGACTGCACATTGTAGGCTGTGTGCATTTTTATTTTTTATTTGGCATAAATGATTTAGCGCAAACAAAACAAATATTGAGCCCAGCCCGTACAATGAAACAGCTGATGTGTAGCCCACACACGAATACTAGGATAGTCCAATAACTACAACGAACAGAACAATTTATTTTTTTTTTATCTGATATGTTTGTCGTATTTGAAAAGTAAGATAATAGCTCGTTTCTGCAATGTCTGAACCATATACGCTAATATCCGTCGACAAATAGCTTGTTTGTCAAGCACGTCGTATCGTGTGTGGGTACTACATCGGTACAAAACTTTGCAACACTGCTAGAGACTATGACACCCTGTGAAATAATATGACCAGCGGAATCCGGCGCGCAATTTGTGAGCAAGTAAGTCAGTGAAATAACTATTTTAGACATAAAAACTATTGTTTTCTTTGTTAACTGCAGCTGCCACAACTGAAAAATATATATTATGCCTTGGAAGTACCTTCCAAAGTGCAACAAAATGCCGCTACACGACCACTACTTCAATGGATTCTGCCGGCTGATGTTGCACAACATGAACATGAATTGTTGGAGTCGGTAAAATCTCAACAATTTGATACCACGTTCGTTGAAGAGGTGCGTGTGGTTCCCCGTATGGGCCGCGAGGCAGCCAAAGTGGAATTCAAGTTACAACCCGATGCATTTACAGCCCATCTTCTGCAAGCAGACACATTCAGCCCAGTGGTGTCGCCGTTTCATGAGGAACACGTTGTTGTCGAGTATAGCTCGCCAAATATCGCAAAACCCTTCCATGTTGGGCATCTGCGGTCCACTATCATAGGTAACGTGTTGGCCAATCTTCATCAGCATTTGGGTTACCGTACGACACGTCTTAACTATCTGGGCGATTGGGGTACCCAGTTTGGTCTGCTGGCGCTTGGCGTTCAAATGGGCAGTGTTAGCGATACTCAAATGCGTGAGGCACCAATTGAAACGCTATATAACGCATATGTAATGGCCAATAAAGTGGCCGCAGAAGATCCAAAGCTAGCTCAAAGAGCACGTGAATTGTTTACTGCGTTGGAAGCGGACACAGACTTAACTATGTCCAGCGAATGGCAGAAATATCGGAAATATACTATAGACGAGCTCACAGGTGTGTACGATCGTCTAGGAGTCCATTTCGATAGCTACGAATGGGAGTCGCAGTACTCACAACGAGATATTGGAGATGTCCTAGCACAGCTACGGTCAGCGGGGCTACTGCAAAGAGAACACGATGGTCGTGAGATTGTTGTCGTGGATCAACGCCGTGTGCCTGTTATAAAAAGCGACGGATCTACCTTATATCTGGCACGTGATATTGCAGCATTATTAGAACGACAGAAGCGGCTGCAGTTCACGCGCATGCTTTACGTAGTAGATAATGGACAGACGGATCATTTCAATGCCCTGTTTAGTACGGCGACAGCGCTGGACGAAAGCTTCAAAGACAAACTGCAGCATGTGAAATTCGGACGCATTCATGGCATGAGCACCCGTCAAGGCAAAGCTATATTTCTCCGCGATGTGCTTAACGAGGCGCGTGACGTGATGCGGGAGAAGCGCTGCAACAGCGCAAGTAAGTGTGAAAATATTTTGTCGACACTTTTGTTATTAAAATTCCACTTATAGCAACTAAAGTTAATAGCAAACTTAATGATGAACACGTTTGCGATATTCTGGGCGTGTCGGCAGTGCTAGTGAACGTGCTGAAGCAACGCCGGCAAAGGGATCATGAATTTAGCTGGCAGCAGGCGCTTCAGGTTAATGGCGATACAGGCATTAAGCTGCAATACACACACTGCCGTCTGCACAATCTTCTAGAAAGTTTTCGACATATTGAGCTGGCGGAAATAAAGCCCAGCTGGCAGCATTTAACTGAAGAACCATCAGATGCGCTAGCTGTCGTTTATGAGTTGGCGCGCTTTGATCAGTGTGTTTGGCAGGCCAAGGAGCAGCTGGAGGCCCATGTGCTCGTGAACTATCTGTTTGGCTTGTGGTGCGTGACTGTCGCCGAGTAATTTGTTGAGCCCTAAACTAATCTTTAATCTTCATACAATTACAGCAACGCAACCAGTCGTGCACTAAAACGATTGCCTGTGAAGCAGGAGAAATGCCCAGATAAGCAATCGCAACGTCTACTGTTGTTCCGTGCAGCTAAGCGAACGTTGCAGCAAGGCATGCAGTTGCTGGGTCTCAAGCCCCTGAACCAAATGTAGTAGACACTTTTGATATAATTTAATATAGTTTTTTTTATTGAACATTGAAGGAGTAGAAATGAAACGCGGCTTTGTAGTTTGCCGCTTAGCGTTTCTTCCACGTGTATTTGCGACGTGCGCCTTCCTGTCCGAACTTCTTGCGTTCCCGTCTGCGGTAGTCACGTGTCAGCAAGCCGGCTGCATGGATAAATACATATTATATATGTAAAAGCAATTTGCGGCAATTAAATATTTGAAGCCGGCAGTTGCACTTACCCAAACGCATTGACTCAATCATCTCTTGATCAACAAAGCTGCGCAAACTCATGGCAATACCCCAACGGATAGCGCCCGCCTGACCGGATGGACCACCGCCCTCCACATTGGCCTCCACATCAACTTTGCCCAGCATTTCGCTATAGCTCAGTGGAAAGAGCAACTGAGAAAATAAATAAAAAAAATGTAATCGTGTTAGAAGTCAAGTTCAGAGCGCTCGAGGCGGCCATTGTCTAAATGTGTGTGCATGTGGAACTGCTCAACTGGATCTACGTAGTCGCTGCATTGTATTTTAGCGTATGTAATGAAAAATTAAACTGAGAGTGTATTTCCTGCACAGAAATAACAACAATGGATGTTTAGAAATAATGACAAAGTTGTTACCCGAATTAAATTGCTTCTAGCAAATGCTACAAAATGCAACAAACTGTTCCATACTTGTGTTTAAAGCAATTAACTGGATACATTTGGGATGCCTGATATTAGCTATCCAGACTTAAGAAAATATTCAAGAATATTCTAGGTGAGAATACACAATAGGTTTGACATCGGATTTCTTTATGCATAGAACCTTCGATATATATTTTATTACTACATTTTAATGAATGACCACTACGTGGAGACGAATTGTTATTTGTTGTTTACTACTTTTCCCTCTTATTTATTACTGTTAGCTATTACTGTAGAACTCTATATATAATCATTCGACTGTTTGTAATATTTTGCACTTAAACTGAATTCTTGTTGTGTACGACTTACAGTTAATGTTTCTAAATACTGTAAATGCTATAGTTGCAATGACATCTAGAAATACCTAGATGATTACTGCATGTTTTTATTTTTGCATACTCTGAACGTATTGTGAATGGGTAAACAAATTAATGTTCTTGTTGGAATGTATGGTAACAGGCAAGTCGATCTAGATCTCTCCGAAGGCTATGACATTCTCGAAAAGTAAAATAAATGCTACCAATTTTAAATCGATAGTTATTACCGTTAAAATGTCTATCGAATTTCAGTTTTCTTAAATAACAATTAATTAATTAGTAATTTAATTAGTTAATTTCAAGGTCAGGATATATCCTAGTTGGACACTTCCTACTAGATCACTCTTAATTGTTTACGTAGAGGGTGTGATTACCTCACAACTAAGTGATAATTACTGCCTGCCGACTAAGCGGCATAAGGCTTAAAGGTATACGCGAGGTGAGGCTTAACACAGCGGTGTTTTAACTTTTAACGGTTCCCTTCAAGGTGCTGCCATTTTTAATTTTAGTTGAGCGAATAAAGCTATTAAAAATGCAGCTAAGAAACAGGCTTAAACGAGTTATTATTTATGTATGAGGAAGAAATTGTATATCTTATAAGCGCGTCATGCATAAAATATGCATCAAATTACCTGAAACTTTATTGGAAATGGGATACCAACAGCAATATTTTATAGTAAAACTATAACAATTAATAAATAGATTATGCATAGAAATATACATATACACAACTAACTCTGACGCCTGGTTCAAAGTCCATATCGAGGGGCTGTTCCCAATATCAAAATAAATTTATATAATTTTAACCTCTTGTTTATTTTGACAATTTTATGAACGCGTGGGAAAACAAATTCAACGAGCTTGGATAGCGTATACACACACAATCCATATGGTCTACAGCACACAAACAATAAACGTTATGATTAAAAACGAATAAACAATAAAAATACATAATAAAAGACATTAACAAAGCAGCGATCACAATTTTGGCAAAAACAGACACAAAACAAAAAAGAGAACGCAAAAAAAAGAAAAAACCCAACAACAAAATAAACACAATCAATCATTGCAGACTTGACAAAATCCATTTTGATTTGTTTGTGTATCTTTAATTTGTTTAAACAATTTGTCAGATGACTTCACGCAGCAACAAATAATCAGCTTTAGCAGCAATTGCGCAAAAGATTTTTAAATTAATTATACTGGCAATTAAAGTAAGTTCCATAATATCAAACTACTCAGCGAATCAGAGAGACAACATCATAAACAGGTTCCAAAAAATAAAAATAAATAATTTCTATGTAAATATTTGAAGAGAAGAAAATTCAGGCTAGCCGGCATAAAAGACACTTTGAACCGGCGCTTGAAGAAATCTCGCGTCACATTTTATTATGATTTAAATGAATTTGATAGCTGATTCTCTGGAGGGTTCGAAAAGCTCCTCGCTTTGCGCTTTTCCCCAACAATGAGCGCTGTACATAGCTCGAAACGAGTGTGTGTAACTATGTGCGATGATGATGATACTGTTGATAGCATATGAAGGCATACATATGTATATATAGTATATATACTAAGTGTACATTCAGCCTCATTGGCGCGCGCTCACTTGACTCAAGTTGGATATGCTCAACCACCTCCCACATTCGCAGCCACAACGAAACTTGTCTTGGTCCACATTATCATTTCGGCGCAGTTCTTTTTATCAGTCAATTCACGCTGTTCAAGTCGCGCCTCAAGTCGCGGAAAAATTATATATCTCGAATTCTAACACCCGATCTTAAGTGTTGCTTATACCTTTGGGAAAGGAAAATGTTGCGTCTATTGCAAAAGCATTGGCCTTGGCCAAGAAACTTTTAAAGTAAATCAGTAAATCAATTAATCTATAAAAATTAAGACCGTGAAGAAAGCTCAGCATCTTATCAAAAAACTTAAATATTCATTTTTACTTGTAATTTGCTTATACAATATTATTTTATTTCTTATAATTCCGAACTGAACTACGAACTTCAAGATTATCTTGGTTTCTTAAACATCAACTAATTGAATGCTGCTATTAAAATCTATATTAAAAGATTTTCAATCGCGTCAAGTTGAACTCGGCGAACTTTGCATATATAATAATTGTTGTGTTTATCTCATTTAAAAAAAACATTTCAGTTTTGTGTTGCAATCATCTGTTGTATTATCCTTTAATTTGGAGAGATTCAATTACATCAAAGCATTTGAGTGCACAACTTAAGGGCAACGGGGCGCCTCAGGTTCAAGGGCATTCTGAAAGCAATGCAAAAATAAGCTCGTTTCGCAAACGCTATGCCTTTCCAATGGGCACAACCACTCGCTTCATAGCGCCTCCCGCGCCTCAAAGGCTTTCAACCGTACAAATTCAAATTAGTTTCAATTATAATTGAATCAACGCAAGCCGAACGAACCGAACGAAACGAACTAAGCCGAACTGAACCGTTTTCAATAAAGGAACGAGTAATCTTTCAAAAGAAACGACGCGAAATGTTCGCAGAGTTGCTTTGGGGGCGGCGCAGTTTTCAAAATGACGTTGCATCGTCGCAGCTAAACGGTAAATTGCAAATGGCGCTTCCGGCTCAGTTCTATACGTTCATTTTGCTTTCTTCTTAATGAAGCAAAAACGTATATATATGACTGTGTATATATATTTATATATGTATATTATATCTATATATAAGTGAATTTATATATATGCCTTACTACTAAAAACCTTCTTTTGGGAATTTTACTATTACAAGAAATGATGTATAGGAAATATATTGCTTTACTTGGATTTACATCTCGGTGTGTTGAAAGCAACTATTAGTTTGTTAGCGATAAAAACTTTCAACTGGCGAATGGAATTTAAACCTGAGAACTGCAAACTGGTTTTTCAACTTCGTCTATGGCCGTTCGTTGAGAGAACTTCATTAATTTGAGTGCATAATCATAAAGAGGTTTTTTACGTTCCGATGTCTGATTGACCACCAAATTGGCTCATAACTCAACCCATACGTTCCGTTTGGCACGAATTAAGAAAGTTTGCTTAATCGCTTGTTTCCAGGCTGTATTTGGTCACTTTTTTCCTCACCTTGTTTGTTTTTATATTAACATTTAAAATTCGCAAACAAGTTAAAAAATTCCCAAAAATTGGTTAATAATTTTAAATTAGTAAACAACTGACAACAATGTTATATTCAAATTGTTTTTTATAACTGTTTTGCCAGTAATTACAACACGCAAACACATTCACGTAATTCTCTTTCAAATGGTTTTACATCAGCAACAATTAAATTGCGCAATGGCTAGAGAACTGAAAGCTGCAAGTGCTATTAAACCAGCAAATAAATGAAATAAAATAAATCATCGCACAATGGTCATGTCTAAATAAAAAGTAAATCCGTTTTACTCAGGCCAACTGAATAGCAGCTCAATTTTTATTGAGTGTTTCGTTTTTCTTACGCTTCACACTGAAGCGTACCTGAAGCACAGTCGCTGCCTCGTTTCAAATGATTTTTAATGGAATTTAGTCAAGAAATGAATGAATACTTGCCAGGCCGCGCGCTGACGTTGACATAAATTGTAAATAATGTGAATAAACAAAATCTGGATAAAAGTAATCGGAGAAGCAAACAGTTCATAGAATACACAATGCTAAGTTAGCTGTAGGGGTACAAAACCTACTATAATATTGTATTATCAAATTTGGTGAGACATAAATAAACTCTTGCCATAGATGTACTATGCGACTTAAAAATATTTCCCATCGAACCGGTACAGATTCTTAATATTATCAGATCCTTAAATATCAGTATTGCAAGCCGAACCTAAACTAAAATTATATTATGGTCATATCTTGGATATCAATTCAAGTCTTCTGAGAGAAACCACACGTAAAAGTTTAAATATTATATGAGATCGGGTACGGGATGCTCCTGATTGGAGGACTCAAGATCGGATTACGAAGTCTCCTCGAAACTACTCTACTATTGATTCGTGTTAGTTAAGATTTCTTCTAAAAATAAAGCGGCCGCCACTAGATATTGAACTGGACCCTATGAAAAACGACGCCTCTGCTCCGTTTAGTTCATATAAACAGTAGCGCCAACTGATAAATTTCAACCCGATAACAATAAAAACGAAAAGTTGGTTTGCGTCTCATGATGCGATGCTGATGATTCTGTTTTTATGGTAGGCCTTATCGCTGCGTCAAATGAGATGAATGCTTAGATAACTTCCAGCCGAGATTGTCGCAGTCGGGGTGCGCAGAAACCTGTATCGAGCCCACAAGGAAAACGACCACTGGGAAAGTCAGAGCAGCAAAAAGTGACGCCAAAGTTAATATTTGATTAATGTTTTTTGCAGATTATGCCTTAAGTCTGGAAACGAAAGTAAACGCGAATTAATAGTGATCCAATTCCGCATTGGATCACACACAATTCTGGGTGCAAATCATTCTCAGCTAGGACTCAAGTATCATAAACACTCTCCTCTTTTTGATTGCAGCTGAGAGCTGAATCGAACCCAAAAGAGCATCGAAACTCAATATCAGCCAGTGTCAGATATTAAGAAACAGGTCTATAAATTTCTGTTGTTGATATTGGAAAGTTTTCGGTTGGTTTGTGTGCACCATACGTAAGTGCAGCCAGACGATTGGGTTGTTGGATTTGTGCGCATATTTGCGCATTTTAATTACAAACTACAGCAACAACGGCGAGAAGAGCCACTGCAACAGCAACAACTTCAACTGCAATTGGAACGAGAAGCCAGCAAGGTCTGTTCGTCGCTTTCGTGGTCGTCATGGAGAATCTGGGCTACAAGGAGGGCAGCACGAAGCCGCGTCGTATGACACGTTCCATCAGCGTCGTTACCAAGACCGAAGTGGAGCAGCCGCTCAATGAAAATAATGCGAATAACCGGTAAGTGCCAGTTGTGCCCAAAGGCCAGCTTTTAGCCCATTCAGTTATTTTTACCCCAAACGTGTGCATTTCGAAGATTAATAAGAAATAAAACACAAAAACCAAAAGTGAGAGCGAAAGAAAACAAAAACAACGTTTGGGTGGGGCTGGCAGATAAATCAGTTGGGGGTGAGGTGTGAATTGGCCGGTGGCTAAAAAATACGGGTTTACAGTTAACTGATGCCGGTTCGAAAAAACGTAACCATGCCACGATAGCTCCCGATATTACTCCCACGTTTGCGAATTAGTGGAAAAAAATCCCATTAGAATTGTGATTGCGCATCACTAGCAGACAGCATATTTCTAATAATTGGTTAGCTAAGCAAATGAAATTAGCATCAATTGGCAAAGGTACCATTTTGAAGTTAGCCGTCTAAAGAGATTCTCCTGCTATCACTAAAGGAAGTGTTAGTCACGACTAAAGTGTTTTGCCAAACTCAAAGTCTTCATACTAATCAATCCTATATTATGCTATAAGAAATTCCAGGCATTTGCTGAAATTGCAGCGGATGAAACGAATTGTTTAGTCGCGCATTATTTAGCCAGCCATGCAGGTGGGTTTTCTGTCAGCCTCTTCTATAACTCATCCAGCCGCAGTCGTAGACTGTGTAAAATTCCAGTCTTCGTCGCTGTCTCAGTCACTCCAACCCATTCCAACTCCCACTCCCACTCGTCTCTCTCCCTCTCTTTTTTGGAAGCTAGTTTTGATTTTGGCAATCGCTCTCGCAGCGATTCAACTCTCTCACCTATGTATGTGTGTGTGTATGCGTGTGTATTTGGCGTTTCAAGCTCGATCGACTTGCTGGCACTGAGCGGCGCTTAACGCTTTCCATCAGTCGGAATTGAAACAACAATGCAGGCGGTCGCGTTTTAGTTGCTGGCTAAAAAAAATATTCGTCAAAAACGCGTTCGCAGTTCGTAGTTCGTTAGCAATAACAAAAACAGCAACAGCAACGACGTATACGAAACGGAAGTGAAAAATTCGCGTTTTCACACAACATTTTTGCATTTTTCCGCCCATTAGACAAAAGTTATAAAAGCGCCACAAAAGGCAACCATTGTTAGCCACTTGGCCCGTCTCTGACCGTCTTATTGTCTGCCTGTCTATCGGATCGGTCTGTAGATGGGTCACACAGCCAGTGGACAGGTCGGGCTCTCCTATGTGTGTGTAACCGCGCAATCGCATTTTGGAAATGAAATTAGAAATTGAAAATAGTTCATTAGCGAATTGGCATCATCCGTGGATATGGCTGCAAGCAGTGTACGTACACAGACACATACACACTCACAAATGCCCATACACACTCTCACACACACACCTTCACATATAAGCAACTAAGTGCAGAACAATGACTAGCTTTGAAAATACGTCCCTGGATTCAATGTGCATGCTACCTGAAATTATGCAAAACTGCATTAGAAATTATCAACAGCAACTGCAAGTGGAATTGCGAAAAATCGCAACAGTCCAAACCGGCGGCAATTGCGGCAGCTGTGCTGCAGTTCCTGACAAACGTGGAAAAGATTTACCGAAGTGCATAAATTATATATAAATACAGAAATATATTATAAATGTGCACAACTCCGCGCTCTTGCATAACTTAACATATTATGCTGACAAACTGTTTCTCCATTATGCATGCCTCAAAGTCAGCAAACGTGCAGCGGCCGTACATTCAGTGCCATTCAAAACAATAATAAAAAAGAAAAAACAATAAAATGTTAAAAATATTTAAACAAATAATCCAATAGCAGAAGTTTCAGCATGAGAACGAAACTTCTATGCGCTTCCAGATAACTTCATTAAACGCTTAATTAATTAAATAAATAAAGATTAAAAAAAATATACTGATCTCAATTGTAGTCCGACTTTCTCTGTTTAATATTTATAAAAATTATTATATATATATATATATATATATATAAATATATATAAATCGAAATATATATATATATAATTGAGAAACATTCGTCCCAATATACTAAAAACTGATGAGGAAATATGATAACACCTATCTAAAGATAACTCTGCATCCAGATAGAAAATATAACAAATAAATTGTTAAAATATAATTGAATGCAGTGAAAATTTAAATGCATAATTAGTCTGAAAACTGCACAATTTTGCATTTTATTGCAAGTTTTCGATAAGAAGTTTTCTTTAATCCCATCAACTAGCGATTTGCCACAGTCTCTACCAAAAGTCTCTCTTGATCTCGTCTTTCTGTCTGTCTTTAAAATATACCTTGAAAAGCAGAAACAATATGCATTATGCAATTTGTATCCATTGTAAGTAATTATGTAACTGCTTAAAGGTATTCTTGTTTAGGAAAAAGTACGGAGAGCGGGAATAATTGACTTGCAACATTAAATGATTTGGTTTAAGCGTTTAAAGACAATTAACATTCTAAAAGCTACGACTAATGACAAACTATTTTTATTGTATTTGAAATAGTTTCAAATCGATTCCACCCAATCTAATGGTGCGATGGCGCAACAACACTGACGCCATGATCGAAGCTCAGTATCCGACAACTGGTGAATTTGAATACATGGAGTGTGGACCATCGCCGCCGGCGGAGAGTGCGCCGAGCATGTACGATAGCTTTGAAGAGCCAACTAGCGAGCTGAGCGTGCAGATCTGCAATGATACGCTGAGGATTAGTCTCATTGACCAGATGAAGAGTGCAGGTGGGCGGGTGCGTCTGTTTGAGGACATCGAGCAGGGCAATGTGGTAGCCGAGAGTCTTGGCGCACATTTCGAGTCGGGTTCAAAGCTCGAGAAGAATCTCTGCTACTTGTGGGCGGCCTTTCTCAAACGCTGGGACCTACTCGAGGCCCTGCTAAAAACGGGCGCTGACCTGCATTTTTGCGACCAGAACGGAATTTCAGCATTGCATTTGAGCGCATTCAGCGGATGTTTGGCAACGCTCGACCTGCTAGTGACCAAGGGCATCAATGTCAATTTGCAGCCGAAGTGCTACACTCCACTGCACTGCGCTGCGTTTGGTAATGCCGCTGAGGCAGCCAAGTTCCTTATCAACAGTGGAGCCCTCATCACCAAAGATACAAACAAGCCCAACTGCGAAGAGAGTCTGCTCCACTGCGCTGTTCGCTCCAACGCGCTGGAGTGCTTGCAGCTATTCATTGGCGAAGGAGCCGATGTCAATTCGCTGAAGCCCAACGGCACGAACGCCATACACCTGGCCGCAGATCTGGGCCACCTACAGTGCTTGGAGGCGCTGTTGAATGCACCAAATGCCGACGCCAATGTCCGTATCTGCATTCGCGAAAAGGAGTCTACGGCACTGCATCTGGCTGCCGATGAGGGCAATGTGGAATGCGTCGATCTGTTGCTCTCGAAGGGTGCAGATGCCAAGCTAAAAAATCATCGAGGCTTCACTCCACTCCATCTGGCAGCGCGCACTTCTAGCTTGGAGTGTGTGGAGTCGCTGCTACGTAATGGCAATGCGGACGCAAACGCTGAGGACTTTGATCATCGGACACCGCTGCATGCGGCCGTCGGCAAGTCTGAGAATGCCTACGATATCATGGAGACGCTCATCCAGTGGGGCGCCAATGTTAACCATAAGGACATCTATGGCTTCACCGCTCTCCACTTGGCCGCTCTTGACGGACTCGTGCAGTGCGTTGAGATGCTCATTTACCATGGCGCCGATGTTACAACGAAATCTAAGAAAGGCACATCCGCTTTAAACGTCATCACACGAAAGACACCTGCATCGGTGGCCATGATACGTCAAAAACTGGATGCAGCTATTACCTTGCATCATTCGCAGGTGAGTTGATCCAGTTGATCCAAACGAAGAGTCCCAACTACTAACTATTTATTCCTCTGCCAAAATAGGATCCTGTGAATCGGGAGGTGGAACTCGAGTTGGACTTTCGCCAGCTCTTGCAGCATTGCCATCCACGTGAGATTAGCTATTTGAACACATTCGTGGATGAGGGACAAAAGGAGATACTGGAGCATCCGCTATGCTCATCCTTTCTTTACATCAAGTGGGGCAAAATACGAAAGTACTACATCGGTCGCCTGATCTTCTGCTTTAGCTTTGTGCTTTTCCTGACTCTCTATGTGCTGACTGCACTGGCGCACAACTGTTACAATGGCAGCAAGGACGACAACACGACAATACAGGCGCAGGAGCTGTGCCAGAAGCAATCCATACTGGGCGATATGCTGCGTAATAATCCGTTTGTCATGGAAATGCAATGGTGGGTCCTCGTGGCGATAACAATAGTCGAGATATTTCGAAAGCTCTACGGGATTACAGGCTACTCCTCGTTTCGACACTATGTGACGCAAGTGGAGAACATTATGGAGTGGTTTGTCATAACTAGCGTCTTTGTCATCTCGTACATTTACACAAAGCAAACATACACGTTCCAGAACCACATTGGCGCATTTGCCGTACTGCTCGGCTGGACCAATTTAATGCTGATGATTGGCCAGTTGCCTGTCTTCGATGTCTACGTGGCCATGTATACGCGGGTGCAGGGCGAGTTTGCCAAGCTATTCATGGCCTATTCGTGTATGCTAATTGGCTTTACAATTAGTTTTTGCGTTATCTTCCCATCATCGTCGTCATTTGCCAACCCATTTATGGGATTTATAACAGTGCTGGTGATGATGATCGGGGAGCAAGATCTGTCGCTTTTAATTAACGACCCGGATGGCAAGGATCCGCCTTTTCTGCTGGAGGTCAGCGCTCAGATTACGTTTGTGCTCTTTCTCTTGTTTGTGACGATCATCCTGATGAATTTGCTGGTGGGCATTGCGGTGCACGATATACAAGGTCTGAAGAAGACCGCCGGGCTATCGAAACTAGTGCGACAAACGAAGCTTATTAGCTATATTGAGTCAGCATTGTTTAATGGCTATTTGCCGACATGGCTGCGAAATCTGCTCCATTATACGGCACTCGTCTCACCGCAGGCATATCGCGTCGTTCTGTGCGTGAAGCCTTTGAATCCCAGCGAAAAGCGGTTACCACGCGACATACTTATGAAGGCCTACGAGGTGGGAAAAATGCGAAAGCACTTTGGCCACACAATCTCCTCCAAAAATCCGGGCGAAAATTATCTATCTTACAAAAACAAGTACAACAATAACAACGGCTGTGTGAACACAGCATATACGTTGCCCGATCCTGATCCAGAATCCACACAACTAACTACATTGACAAGTAAAATCGACGATAATGCAGATCGCATTGAGTTTCTCACGCAGGAGATTCAAGAATTGAAACAGGTGCTCATATCACAGCAGCAGCAGGCCAGCAAAGTGATTGATAAGCTGCTCATCGTCATCTCCAACCAACAGAAACACCAGCTACGTAAATAGCTGCTGCACGATGCCATTTAATATTATTGTTATTATTATTATAATTATTATTATCTTTTATATTCATCCGAATCATAAATTCTTAGCCCTTAGACACTTCTGGAGTGTGTAAACCAATGCACCCAAGAGCCCGAAAATTGTTGATATTATATTGTAGTGAGCATGTTTAATATTGCAGCGGCTAACGCTCTACCTAATAATGCTGTTTAGCTATATACTATACTTTATATTTTACCTACAATATATATACAGATATTTTAATAAAACTAGTTGATAGGTCTTAGAGGTGAGAAGCTGGCAGGTTTGTTTTTGTCTGTGTCTGGTTTTAGGCTGTGTCTTTGTTGTTTGGCGTTGTCGTAAGAAAAGCGTTTAAATAATGAATAAATATGAAAGTTATTTGTTTTATAATATTAATAATAAACTATCTATCTACACATCTATTGATTTAAATATCTATTGCCTAAGTTTTTTTTTGATTCTGTGAAGATTGCACAAACTAAAAAAAATATTTTAAAATTGAAAATATTTGGATTTTCAATAAATATAAAAGCAAAGCCATAAATAATTACGAAATATGGCGTAATATATTAAAAATTGATCAATTCCGAATTCCCTTGACTTCACAATTTGCCGTTGAAGCCTTTTAAAATTTAGAGACCTTCAATGATTTCGAGTATAATTCTAAATTGGACTCACCTGTTCTCTGCATTCGTCCATGCTGAAGTACGTGATATCCTGACCATTGATGGTTATTTTTCCTGTGCCGGGCAGACGTACAGTGACATCGGCACGTGCCGTCTTGCGCAGGCACTCATATGTCGTTATGTACTGGCGACCTTGCTCATCAATCTTTGGCTTGGGCACCTCTAGTTGCTTTGATTGATCAATCAAAGGTTTTAGAAAGCGTTCGATAAATGCTTTGCTTTTATACGAATAAGGCGAGGACATTAAACGTTCCATAGCATTGGTAAAACTCTGATATTCAATATCCACAATGTGTTCCACAAGCACGCGTTCCAGTTGATCCTTCGACAACAACTGAAAACCAGCCGTTTCGCTTCAAAAAGAAGGCGTATATAAGGTTCAAGCATTATGTAAGCATAGATTGTCGTTTACATACAGCTTTTGGTTTTCATCTGGTTTGTTTCCACGCCTCAGCATGCGCTCTTCAAGGTCATACAGATAGTTTGTTTCCTTAACAATATCCTATTAAATAGATTTGACTGAGATTAGCATATTCCACTGATAAACGAAAAATACATACGTGTAGTAGCTGGAAGAAATTGGGTTTGCCCGTGTAGAACATGCTGTGAAAGGGGCGACCAGTCTCATCAAACTCGGCTGCCTTACGTGCTGGAAACACCTCTTCAGGTGTTCTCATCGCGGGACGAGCCCGCTTGTCAAACAAGCCTGAGGGAAAGAGATAGGCGATGGCTTCCTAAAAGTGACATTTGGTTATTAAATGTAACTCATCTATCATTTCAAATACTCACATTAATATCTTCTTGCGTAAAGGTTTCTGCGTCAGCGCCCATCATATTTGCCAAATGTCGTTTTCCAATTTGAAACTCCAGGTCTTGAGTTTTCATAAACTCGTCGTGCTCATTAGCCCGCTCAAGGTATGCTTTCATGGCTTTGCTCACCTTTTGCTTCTGAACAGCAGCCGGTGTGGCCTGGACGGTCACCTGTGTAGTGTACGGCGCCACCGCAAGCTGAAATGTTATGCAAACGAATACGCGAGTTATTGATTCAACCTTACATGGGCCTGTAATTAATTATAAGGGATATATTTAATTTACCACTTGGGCACCAGGCGCTCCATTGTTTCTAAGAGCATTTTGAAGCAGACTTCTGTTATTTTTTAATAAATTTAAGCCGAAAACACGCAGCGACATTGTTCTTGTCTTGGCTCACGCTGAGGCAGGAAGAGGAAGATATTAATCAGCTGTTTTGAGTCCGCTGTGTTGAGCAGAGTCCCAAAAACAAGTTGGCAGCACTAAAATTACCATTCAATATGCGCCAAATTTAAAATGAGCAAAAAACTTAGGTTTTTGGGGTTTGAAACTCTTTTTCACAGGTTCCATACCTACATTTAGCATTTACATTAAATGCAATCCAAATTTTATCAAAAAGATTGATTTATTAATCAGCCCATATAAATTAATCAACTAGTAAAAAATGTTTGGGAAAACTTTAATTTATTAAAGTTAATAATAAAGAACCATGCATGTTTTAGTTGTTTTGGACAATTAACAAGAGAAAATTAATTATATAATTTTCATTGTTATTGATCATAACGGAAATAAAACTCCTTAATATACCATTGTCCTTACAAATGTTTTTTATTGACTAATTTGAAAAACACAATTTCAATGCTGATATTTTGAACTATGGAAAGTAAACACAAAACGAAACAAAAAATGCAATGAGAACTTTTTCAACAGCTAATTACTTGTTTGTTCGCTATATATATTTAATTAAAAATAATTGCCTAAGCTTAGAGAAAAAATTGTTATCAATTGCATTATTAGGTAAAATGCAGCTACTACAATTCATTCTCTTCCGTCTACTCCACTTTTCTTCTTGTTATTATTTTTTGGTCGTAGTACAAATTATATAAAGCAATTAGATATTCTTAATAGCGTCACTTCTATTTCCACGCCTGTTTGAGCAGCTTTCGTGACGCTAAGTGCCTAACAATTAAAGAGCCGGAAGTTAGAACGACCAGTACTATTGAAATTAATATATAGTCGAAATCCTCCTTCAACAAATCAAAAGTTTTTGAAGGCGCAACACGCGTCACGAATATATCTAAAGAAAAAAAATTATAAAAACCATGAATAATATTAGTGATGTACTGAACGTTTTTGCAAGCATTTAACTCACCTAAGCCAGTGGCTACGACTAGACAGGTACTCTCCAAGCCGCTGGGAGCGGTGTAGATATTACGCAAACGTGCAACCGTTTGGTTATAATTTATGTAATTCTCAGTGGGCAAAGGCAACTCCGGTATATAGGGAATGGCACCTTCTTCACGTCCTTGTGTTGTGGATGATATTGGACGACGTGGATCCAGTAGGTGCCAGGACATTTCGACAATGCCGCCACTAGCAGTGCCAACTATACAAAGAGTAAGAAAATTACAATTGAATAAACCCTTCGCACAGGATTATATAAAATGTAGTCTTACTTAGCACATGCTTGTTGGTAATGCCGCGTTCAGTGATTGTCTCGCGCATTGCCTCCACTATTGTGGGTATGATATAAGACTGACGCTCCACGAGTGGCATGGACGGTGCCTGCAAGGAACTCCACACGCTGTTGTTGGCCTGCGCGCTACCCTCATATAGTTCAATAGTAGCTGTTTTAAAAAGTAACAATTTCAAATCTATACTTATCATTTCTTATTAGTATTTCTTACTGATTTCCGTGCGTCGCACTTTATCGTTGAAATAAGAATAGGCTAACCAGTTCTCTGAGTGCACAATGTGCAGCGGCGCGCGAACCTTACGATGCGTCATGGAGAAGATGACGGATCCGGACACAACATCAATTAAATACATATTGAGCACAGCTGCATTAAAATAAAAAAATTATAACTTAGCGTTTTTTAGCTTGGATAAACCTACTTTTGTGAGTGGCATCTGGAGCCTGTGTAACGAAGGCAACTAAGTTAGGATTAATGTACTTATATAGTACTGAGCGATCCCCCAGCACACGACCCTGGGAGTGGACGTGCTCAATAGGATTCTTGCTAGCAACACTGATGATTTGTTGTTCTGAATTGTGACCGCCCAGACGAACATTCCAAATGGGTAAAGATGATAACTCCTGGAATAGTAACAGTTGACTTGTAGCTAACACGCTAATTATCCGCTTTTTTTGTCTACTTACGCCGCCAGCATATTTTACAAAGTAACCTTCGAGTTCAGCGGTCTTCAAATCGGCCGTGTACAAATACATACCATGCGCCTGCAATAATTAAGGGAAATGCGGGTTAAGTCATATCCAGTTGATGGATTAATATTTTCATTTACCAATGGAGTCGCATGCTTAGGCTCCACATGTACTTGGTTGGCGCCATCCAATATCAGAATGCCTTTAACATAATCGTCCTCTGTTTCGGATAGAAGCGCTAACTGTTTGATTTTATAGTTAAGTTGGAGGAGCCCGCCCTCGGCAGCGTGCCCTGTGATGGGATTAAACCGAAATAATACGCCATTGCCAGTATCCTAGAAAAGAGATTAGAGTTATTATGCTTCTCAAAAAGTATACTATATATATTTCAACTTACCACAGATTTAGCTACAATAGCACACAGAGGCTGAAGTGGGAAGTGTTTGGAGCTTCGCTGTACAATCAGTCGCATCTGTTCGGCATTTTCAAAGCCCGCCACATTGGGTAAATAGAGTTTCCAATGCTGTTTGCCGGCAATATTGTCAATGCCAAAGATTTTGCCTGTGCGTGTCAGCAGTACCAGCATCTTGTGAAGTCCAAAGGAATCACGGACAAGTCCAGCACGTTGCGTGTCCGTTGGTGGGGGACCCAACCCGATGACATGCAAGAACAGACTTTTAATTTGCAGCGCTTGCGTGGTAATCCGACGCATAAAAGCAGTAGCAATGTCACCTACGGTATCGAGAAGATAGATTTTGTAAAAATATATATGTATTTATATTTCTCAGATTACAGAAACTAATGAGTGTTTGTAATGTCTACGCTTTTGTAAATAGCATAGTTAATTCATGAGCAACTTACGCTTTAAACTGTTTGCATCCACTTTGGTAAGCATTAATAAAATATATGAATCCAATTTTTTTAAATGACAGCGAAAAGTAGAGACTTACCTGCTTTGCCCCTCATTTCGTTTTCAAGCGTGCCTTCTGTATCAGCTAAGGGTAAGTCTAGGAACTGTGTATCAATTACATTCGCCAAAGATTCCTCACGTGACCAACGTACACGGCCCTGTTGTACAGCAACAATGGATTCTGCGGTGGTGGTAAAAAGAAACAGACAATTTTTTCCGTCGCTATTGCGCTTGGATTTACAGTCAAAGGATCGAAGACTGGGAGTTCCATAGTGCTCAGCAAAGGCCACGCTTAGATGCAGTTCAGGTACCGGACTGCAGTCGTCCAAATAAACAGCATTAATATTAAGTATCTGAAAAATACGATTTATTAAAAACTTCTTATGGTTTTTTAGTTGTCATTACTTACGCTGTTGATCAAATCAGCATAGGCAATAACTTTGCGGTTATTAAAGCTACCGACGATATAACTATCGCTTGTAAGATCTGAACATATAGCCTGATCCTTGTTAACGCTAATTAGTTTTTTATCGACAATCAGTCCGCCATTTAAGCCCTGCAATTTTATGGTTTTAAATTATTCAAATTTTCTGTTTTTTTTTTTTAACTTACCGGCAAATCCTGGATATTGCTGCTTGGTTCAGCTCCTAATGATGTGGCAATCACCTGAGTGCTCTTAGCCACTAAGTCCAAGCTAATGAGCTGCTTTCCATCCAAGCAAATATAAAAGGTGCCACTGAGCAAACAACTCTCTGGATTTATCCAAGCAGCCATTATCTTGCTTGTGCTGCCAGTTGTGTGACCGGACGTTGCAAAATATGCGGTGACCTCAATGTGACTACGCCAGGCGGGCACCACATGATACAGTAAAGAATTGCTGTAAAACCAGACCGCATCTTGCGCTCTTTCCGTATTCAATGGCATTATAGACCATTCCCATTCGATTGTGCCAATGTTCGTATTCCAACCTCGCACCAGAGCTGGAGCATGCCCCTGCACAGTCATCATGTCGAAGCCTAAATGCGATCCCATTGGGGCAGCTGCCGTGTCACTGCTATCGTCAGCGAACCCACTTACTTGTAGCAGTTTTATGTCCCCTCGTGGCTTTTGCTCTAACACCTGGCGCCAAATAATCTCACCGGTCTTTGGACATAATGATCCAACCACTTGCTCATGCGTACTTAATAGCACACGCGGCTGAAAATGGTTAAGATCAACGTAAGCGTGCTTAAGACTGCCCACATGCACGCTTCGCCTGTTTAGAGGTAAAATGTTAGTAAACGGTCAATGTTCAATATTTGTGTCACTTGCCAGTCGAATTTTTTAATCTGGTCCTCGTACAGCCCAGAGCAGGTGCTCAGCAGCAGCAGCAATGAGAGTGAAATGAGCGTACCGGCAGAAGACTGTAGAAAATCCATTTTCGTGCGGTTTGCTTTGAAACCTTTTCTAAATTATATTAGGCACGAATTATGCGGTGACCGACACGTTTTTAAGTTATAAATTAATGAAAACGTCAGTAATTTGTGTTTTCCGTCATAGTAAAGGGGGATGAGACGACAATTTTTGCAGGGCTGCAATTACCTTGTTATATCGTTATCAAATCTTTTAGCAGACGTTGCTCAACACTGTTTAGAGCTATCGGAAAAATATCGAATAATTTAATTTAGCTTACTAACGGCTACAACTGAATTAAAAAATATTTTTGTTTATTTATGTTTATTTTGGAATATGTTTTAAACTCATTTTAGTCTACGTAATATGCTCTACCTTATGTTATTTACAGTTTTTCAATATTAACACCAGAAACATAGTTCATGTTTGTTTTCAGCTATACTTTATGTAATAGACAGATTTTCAATGTTAACACGTCAAACTAAGATCATGCCCGTTATTATTTGCGCCGATCTAGATTTGAATCGATGCATGGAAATTGCAGAGCACCTTGAATTGTATTATTAAGTTGCTTTCGAGTTGCTTGTGCTAAATGTCTTTTATTATTGGCATTCATAATTTATGAAGCTTATGAATAAATGGTAACAATGTATAATAATTGGCCAATCGGTGGCTATATTGATGGCTATTTCTTTTGTACAAAATTGTCATTTTTTTTGGGAAGAGTGCTTTTCACTGAAAAGCTACTACATATGTATATCTAAATTAGTATAAAGTGTATAATTTGAGCTTAAGAATTACTTTGTAGAAAATGGTGTAAATAGAAATGGATATGTGCTTCACAGGTGAGGCGTTAAATGCAAAAGTGCAACTACATAATTTGAGACAGTAATATTGAGCGCTCGTAGGCTTTATACTGCAAAGTTTTTGTTTTTCTTGAGACTGGGAGTGTTTACCAGCTTAGTTCGTCAGGCAATCCGCCAGGATATTCGCCCGTTAAGCAGGCGGTGCAATGACCTGTTGGCTTGCCAGATGCCACATGCTTACGCTGAACTGTTTGCACCAAGCCGGCAACACTCAGATATGCCAGACTGTCGGCGCCCACTTGACGGGCCAGTTGCTTGGCGTTCAACTTGTTGGCGATAAGCTCTTCGCGCGTGGGTATATTGATTCCCATATAGCAGGGATACTGTAGCGGGGGGCTGGCTATGCGAATGTGCACCTCCTTTGCCCCGGCATCACGCAGCAGCTTAATAATGGGGCCAATGGTGTTGCCGCGCACAATTGAATCGTCTATTAGCACTAGTCTCTTGCCGGCTACATTTTCAGACAGTGCTCCAAATTTCTTAGCAACGCCCAACTGCCGTAGACGGGTCGAGGGTTGAATGAACGTGCGACCAACATAGCGGTTTCGGCACAGAACCTCTGCAAACTCCAAATTGGATTCCCGTGCATATCCATGAGCTGCTGCAGTCCCCGACTCTGGTACTGAGCTCACAATATCAGCTTCAACAGGCGCCTCACGCCACAGCTGACGTCCGCACTCCAAGCGTACCGAATACACCATTTGGCCTTCGAAGATGCTGTCGCCTCGGGCAAAGTACACGTACTCGAATATGCAAAAAGCCATGCGCTTAAACTCTGGGCGCTCTACGATGTCCACAGTGCGGTAGCCTTCACGCGTCAGCTCCACAATTTCGCCTGGCTCAACCTCACGCACATAGCGTGCGCCAATAGACAAGAAGCCGCAGCTCTCACTAGACACCACCCAACCATCTGCTGGCGTTTCAGTGCTGTTGACTGCATGACCAGAGTTAATGGGCACAATTTTACCAATGCATAGAGGCCGATTGCCATATGTATCTCGCACAGCATATATCTTGTCCTTCAGCATAATGACCAGCGAGTAGGACAATGGGGCCAACATCATAAAATGCCGAATGCGTGCTGGCCAGTTGGGTCCGTCATGCTCAGAGACTCCCTCCGGTGCGCAGCAAAGGGATTGAGCTATCAACTCACTGTCACTGTGTGTAGATAAGCCAACACCGCGGGCCAACACTTCGCGGCGAAGAGATTCATTGTTGACCACCTCGCCGTTATGGGCCAGCGCCATAGCGCCATGTGCCGTGTGAACGACAAACGGCTGACAGTTGACAACCTCCGATGCACCGGCAGTGGAGTAGCGTGTATGGCCAATGCCCAAGTTTCCTCGCAACTTCTTCATAGAGTCGTCGTTAAAAAGGGTGCTGATCATACCCATTCCCTTGTGAACATTGAAGTTCTTGGAGCATTTGCCCTCGCTAGTTGCTATGCCAGCCGATTCCTGTCCACGATGCTGCAGTGCTACTAGGCCCAAACATATCACGTGACCAATGTCTATCTGGGTGGGCCAGTCGCCACAGGCAATTGCACCAAAGACTCCGCACTCATGCGTTAAACCGGTTAATTCCTTACTTTCAGCAATGGAGAGCGTTGTCGACGACAGCGTAGGCGAGTTGGTCACCACTTGTTGATCATGACCCTCAATACGCACATGCTGCTGTTGCAGTTGTTGTTGCGGCGTCGACACGTTGCTGCTGCTTAACATGTTGTTGATCTGCTTATCAAAGTGGGGAATGTTGTGATTGTTAACCAGCTGAGCTAATGCAAGGCTTTGCTCTGATTTACCTGTTGATTTATGCAACGGTTTTATACACATAAATCTTTGCAACAGAAACGCAAAAACTTACCGCGATCATTGACATAAGCCAAAGATCGATGATAATATCGATAGCTGTTTCATTAATAATATCGATATTTCTAATTGGTTCCATATGACATGCATGCCAGTATTAACGGAAAATTTGGCCTTACATTTTTTAGATCAAAATGTACTTTATTAAATCAAATTTCAACATAAATATTAAAAATTAATAAGTAGTACTTATAAAAAAATTAATAAGTGATATTGACATTACTAAATCATAAGAAATTGTAGAGTTCCTTGAGTGGTTAATCACATTTGTGAAAATTATCTTCCATAGGGCATTTAGTAGTCAAGTACTTCCACTTATGTATTCGGACGTGCCTGAAGTAAATTAATCAATCAAGTTTCGTCATAGAAATAATTCATTTAATTCAAAGTCAAATATTGTCTTAGTTACAATATCATCTGCTTCTATCTAACACGTGAATCTTGGAAATTTTAATCATTTAAGTACCTGAATGAATAACACAATCACCTTGAAGATCGAAATCAATGAACATTTTAATGCTTTGCTGAAAAGAAAGGAGCATGTTGTAGTTTTTGATTTTCTGTCGTGTCGAGTAACGCTTTTGCTGTTTCTATATCCGACTTTATCACTTTGATTAAGTCATCTAGAGAACTGAAGTTTTGTTCTGGCCTCAGATAGCCAACTATACAAATTTTTAATGTTTGTCCATACAAATCACAATCGAAATTATGCATTATATGCGTTTCCAAACTCTTTTCCTTGTTGTTGTAGAAAGGATTCCATCCCACACTTAGTACCATTTTGTACACTTCACTGTCGTTTACTTTTGCCCAGCCGTAGTAAATTCCCGTGTGCAAGGATTCGGGTAGCGATTTAACCACATCCAGGGAAAAGTTTGCTATCAATATACATAAATCGTATTTTATAGGGAATCGTTATGTGATCAGCTTATGAGATTTCGTTTGTTCCATACCTGTTGGAATGCCCAGTTCCTTAGAGCCACGACCAAATCCGCGAACGATTTCACCGCTGACATAGATAGGCAACTTATGTATCATTTTTTTTATTATATTATGTTACTGGTGTAGTACTTTGGTGTGTGGCTTGATGAAATGCGACTTATTGAATTTCCAGATTTGGCCTTGATCACGTTACTTGACAGGTTTCTGAAACAGTTCGTCAATTAATCATCATTTTTGGAGAGTGTTTTAATTACAACACCACTCACAAAACTGTTAAACTCCCCATTGCTGCTCGTATTATAAGCGAAACCGTGAGGGTGCAATCAGCTGTTAACATGACTGCAACCAAATCGAAATCGAATTTAAAATTATTTATCGATGATATATATATATGTGATACACGTTTTGTGTTTACCCGAATTTGTATTCATATACACAATTTTTCTGTGATATGAAATTTATTTTTTTGTATTGTTTTTAATCAAAAGCTTTCATAATATTAAACTTAATTCACAAATGGATCAACTTTGTCGTGTTTGCATGGATAACTCCGTTACATTGGTCGACATATTTGCCGAGCGGCAACAACAATCAACGGACCATCCGAGCCCGAGCCTGGCTGAAATCTTAAATGAATTTTGTGAGGTACATCAGGAAGATTGCCTACCGCAGAACATCTGTTTGTCCTGTGTACTTGCGGCACAGAATGCGTATAAATTCAAACGAACATTTGAAGATAATAAGCAGAAACTGCTAAAACTACTATATAGTACCAGATGTGCGGATAACAGCAGCGCATTGCCATTCGTGGAGGCAATCTATAATAATGACCGAGATGCGGTAAATTTGAGCAACGTTAAGGCTGAGCCACTGAACGAGGATGAAGCCGTTACCAATGAAAACGACGTACCCTTGAAAAATAAAAAAACCACAAAACGGCCCACACAAAAACGGCAAACATCAAAGTTGCTAAACCGTCGGATGCCACAGAGCAATGGCGAAAGACCTTACAAATGCAAGTTCTGCGAAAAAGGATTTGATCGAAAATATATTTTGGGACTGCACGAGAAGTGAGTGATTGACATCCTACTGTTTGTAGACAAAGCTAATCTTAAGTTTCTTACATATGCAAACAAGGCGACACACTGGTGAAAAAACTCATTTCTGTGACACTTGTGGTAAGGGCTTCATCCGAGCCCACGATTTAACCGTTCACACTCGTGTTCATACTGGTGAACGCCCGTTTAAGTGTCCCCAATGCCCGCGATCGTATGTACAAAACTACATGCTCAAGGGGCATATGCTTCAACATGCCCATAAGTTGGACTCTCGGGTGCACGGACAATCCAATAATTCGATCAGGAATGTTGGCACTAGGATCATTGTTCCAAAAATTAGAAAGCAGAAAACTAAGTCTAATAATGCGAGACAAAAAAACGAAAAAACGATAAATATTTTGGAGCGGGGGCTACGGAGTAGGATAGCTCCAGTTGCCTATGAAGAACTGGACATAGAATGTGAATTAGTAGACTTAGAGACGAATCCAATAGCTGAGCAGAAATCGAAAATAATTGAGCAAAATTTTAAACAAAAAACGACCAAAAATGGTTCTGCAATCATAAAGGGACGGCAGAAACACAGCAAGTCCAAGAGCGTTAAAGACCGCAGCAATAAGTAAGTGATTTTTTAAATTATGCTTGAAAATGAATTTCAGTTTATGTTTTACATAATTTACAGATGTGGTGGAAAACGCAAGACCCATTACTGCGAGACTTGCGGTAAGGGCTTCCCTCGCAGGTATGGATTGGTAACACACATTCGGGTCCATACAGGAGAGCGCCCGTACAAATGTCAATGTTGTGGCTTTGCATTTACTCAAGGACAGGCTCTTAATAGACACATGCGTAGAATTCATAGTGGTACCAAAGATTTGCTAAAGCCAACAATAAAGCGAGCGATTGTACGAATAGCGCGTATTCAATTACCTCCTCGCGTTTTGACTGTAAAATGTGTTGACTGACCAAATGTTATTTATTAGCATTATTCCAAATGTGTTTCATTTTTGTTTTATTTTCAATGATATTATTATTGATTATTAAATATTCCATTTGTACTGATTAGGCATAAATTATTATTTTATATTGAGTATAATTTAAAAAAAAAGATAATAAATGCACATTTTATTGAAACAACCAAAGCTGTATTTTATTCAGGTTTTTATGATTTGTGTGTTTTATGCAAATGAAACATTGATAAGAGTTAAACGAATTTTGCAACGCTTCCTTATAATTTTATTACTACAATTAAAGAACGCCTCATTTCTCACAATGTTGTTCCATAATGTTCCATGATTATTTTTGAAATGATTCGATAGGTGATTGCTTAAGTTAGGAAAAATCGAAATTGGAGCACATCTCATGTAACGTTGTTATTTCGAGTTATGAATTATTCCTCTTATCGATATAAATACGTTTTCGATAGAAACCTTTATCCATCTCTAATTGTGATTATCTAAACATTTTTTATGTTAAAATGAATATTAACGTTAGAATTCTAACTAAAAGTGTGGCACAACAGTATGCCTTCAAACGAATTGGTGAGTATCTATGATATTTTTGCTAAAAGCAAGCAATAACTTGCAATAATTTTAGTCACATTTTCTACTAAGCCGACACAGCAGGCTGCTGCAGCCGCAGTGCCTCAACAGCAAGAAGTAACTGGTTCGACGGTTCGCAGACCAATTGTGCCCGCGCACTATCGGTTTGTCTATCCCGAGTTTTTGCCTGATCCCAAAGTCGAATGGCGCAATACAATTCGCGAAAAACTGGAACGTCTAGATATGCTCGATCGTCGGCGCCAAATTGAGTTACCCGAGTTTTATGTGGGCTCTATTCTGGCTGTTACTAGTTCCGATCCCCATGCGGCAGGAAAGACAAGTCGTTTCGTGGGCATTTGTATACACCGTGAACGCTGTGGGCTACGTGCACGTTTTATTCTTCGTAACGTTATCGATCACCAGGGCATAGAGGTGGTCTACGAGCTGTACGATCCGACCATACAGAAAGTAGAAGTGTTGCGTCTAGAGAAGCGTCTCGACGATAGTCTGTTTTATTTGCGCGATGCACTTCCTGAGTATAGTACATTTGATGAAAATATGGAAGTAGAAAGTCTGGAGGAAGGAGCACCCGTGCCAGTTAACGATATAAAAGTGGTTCTCCGTCCACGGCCCTGGTTAGAGCGATGGGAACGTCAAAATTTGCTTGGAGTTGCAAACATTGAACAATATATAAAGGACAAGCATCGCAAATCTTCCGAAAAAGCGCAGAAGCCATGGGAAAAATACGATTTGATGAAGCAATACCGCGCGACCATACCGGAGGAAGAGCAAAAGGAGATCTTCGCTGAGGTGCACACCGAGTTGCACACCTTGGAGCTACAGCGCAAGCGCAATAAAAGGAAACGAACTTTCGTCAAACCCAAGCACCTGGCATAGATAATCCAAGTCACTGCATTTTAACTTGTAGTCAAATAGAACTAAAACATACAAAAAAATGAGAAATTGACTCTTTTATGATGGGAAGTCGAACTTTTATGCATATATATTAACATGGATTATGCTACAGTAGTTAGTATTAGTTAGTCATTATTGTAGGGGAGCGCCTAGCAGCTAAAAAGCAAAATAATTTACAATCCACATTACTAAACCAATCAATATACACGATATTTGTAGAAGTTTACAAACGAAATTGTTGCATTCCAGCCAATGATTGTAACAACAAGATACAAGAGAAAGATAATGGGCAGTGCGATGAGTATGAGGCGCGTATTCTTCAAATGTGGAACACCTAAAAGAGGGTATGAGCAGAAATTAGTTGAGATATATCTGTTGAGATTTCAACTTACAGTTATAGCCCAGGAAAGTGATGTAAACGTAGTAACTCATACCCATTAGCCAGAATGAGTTGCCCAGGAATCGCGATATAAACCATGTCTGACTAATCAGCCAATTGTAAAAGAACAACTGAATGAAGTGCAAGAGCATTAAGGGTGGAAAGAAGGCATTTAAATGGACATCAAACGCGTAGCCCCACTCAATATCCGGCTCCAGATTATTGCTGCGCAAGAAGCGATTTGTAACCAACCAGAAGAATGACGCAATTATGATGCCAACAAATATGCAATCAATGAAAACCACATAGAATATAAAGGAAATACTTTGCCAAATGGACAGTCCAAGTACATATGCAAAGCCCAGGGAGGTTACTGAAATCAAAAGAGGGATATCATTATTTAAAGCTTTCAGTTTTAAGTGTTCAATTTCCTAGCCGTTTACCGCAGAGACAAATAACCAACAGCACTAGAAATGCGGGATCATCACGCGCAAATTGAGATTTGGTTTGTTTCCTGTAGTTGAAGTTTCTATACACCTTTTGGGGCGCTATAAACAAATAGATCATTTGCCAAAATGCAAATTCAAAGTCCATTTGATTGAATTTGATCAAGCGTCGTAGATATTTGTAGCTCTTTGAAGTCGCCGAGAGGCAATCCTTGCGATATCCAACAGGCGGAGGCAGCGGAGAATGCAGCCGGGACGCGCTCGAATAGCCAGACACCACGGATGGCGTTGGAGATGTTGTGTACTTAACGTTACTATATTGGCTCATTTTTCGTGTTATTAAAAACTAAATATGTAAACGTAGTCTTGCATTTTTGTCTGCAAAAACAGCTGAGTGGTAGTTTAGAGATGAGAGAGAAATTGATCGAATTACGATAATATCGGCATGTTTGACAATTAAGGATATCGATAGTAAGAATGATGCGATTATAAATACATTTAGTGTGGCCGAATTTGTTTAATAAAAACCGCCAAAGCATATTTATTGTTTAAGACTCAAGAAGCTTGAACTCAGTTTTTGAGCTGATTGATTTTAATACATAAGCGTAGCTTGAAATCCTTTAATGTTGTAGGTTCATGTCATTTTGATTTTGTAAACATTGGACTTATGAGTAAACAAATATAAACATTTTTTTATTTTCTATACTTATTTAAAAATGTTTTATGGAAATATCTAGCCCAGTTTAGGCTATTATGATAAAAAAAAATAAATTTTAACAAACATGTTTGTAATCAATAATACATTTAGCTTACATATGTTAGACTTTAAGGAGCAATTTTGACAAAAAAACCCCTCTCTGAAATACACGCTAAACTCCCACAATTACTGCGATATTTCAATAGAAATATAAAGTTTCAGCTGCCACAATTAGGGCAGCATTGAAGGCATTTTTCAACGCTATGCGACATCAAGGGGTCGCCCAATGGCCAACGGTCAACTGATCAGCCAGCCGGCAACGGCCAATTTATGGTGCAGAGTCTGAGCAATTGCAGATGAAAAATAAAAAAAACAATAAGCAATCTTTATCACATTTATTGCAATGCCCTTTGGCATTGACAACAGGCCAGGATCCCAACATAAGCATAAGACAAAGGCAAGCGGGTGCCAAGGGAAAAAGGAGATGGAAAATCAGAAAAGGTCAAACAATGACCGGCGCATGCACAAAAGGAGCAGCATGCGCGCGCGCGCGCTTCAGACGGACACATTCTGAGGTCGTCTTAGAGGTCAACTTTGGACTTACTTAGGCATGTTGCAGACACAAGCGTTCCATTCTGAGCGAAAACTCCATTCAACTTCCCGCTGCTGCTGCCGCTGCATTGAGTTTTCACTCGAGACAGGGGTTGAGATTTTCGATGTATAAATGTTTCTCTCTCTGTTTGTCTTTACGATTTGAGTTGAGTTACTCAGACTTCCACTTGGGCGATCTATCTATGTCCACGCAGCAAAGGACATTTCCGGATTGCATTCAATTGTCATATTGCAACAATTGCGCTTTTTATTCCTGCTGTTTGTGTTTTTTCGGATTGCTTGTCACCTTTTCTTTGGCCGATGGTTATTGGTTTTTTAGATCATGTTACGTTCTTCTGTTTGATCAATAAATACAACGATCAATGTCACGACAAGACAAATGGGCAAATTTGCCAGGTATTGAACACAGCTCCCTTAATGCGACGGCAGCCGTCTCGACTTGGCGCCCATAAAAATTAAACGAAAATTAAGCGTAAACACGAGAATTCTGTCACATAAATCCCCCCGGGCAGATCACAGCTTCGCCCTGCACCTTGCCTTCAACTATTTTTAGTCCTTGTCGTAGACTTGGGCATGAGGTGCTGCAGCTGTTTACTCGTTCGCTTCCACACATACATACATCTGCAGGCTGCAGTTGAGTTATGCGCCGCTGAGGCCGCTACTTGATTAACACATGTCCTGCGCTGGCCATGCGGGCGTATCCCTGACACGTAATTCTTCAAGCGTCAAAAGGGGCAGAGCAGCCGCCGCAGCCGCAGCAGTCACAGTAGTCGAAGCTATATGTTAATGCTTAGTTTGTTGATGCTCTTAACTCATTCATTATGAATTGGAGGTGCTAAGTATGCCACATGTGTGTGGCAGCAGCAGCAGCACCAGTTGAATCTCTGTAGAAACAGATGTAAGGCTAAAGCTTCGCTTTACAATTCTTTAAAAGTACTCAAATATATTTAAAGAATATTTTTTTATTTTATAAGGTAGGTAGCCTCAAGCCTGAGCTTTAGCCTGGCCTACGAATAAAGAACTAAGAAAATAAATTTAGTATAACTTGCAGATGTTCCTGGTTGGCCTAGCACTAGCCTTAAGTACTTCTTAAGTACTTATGTAATTCGTCAAAGACAGCCTACAGATCAGATATGTATCGCAACATCTTGAATAAGTGTTTTATGCATTATGAATAATCACGCTGCATATTTTTCAAAAATTGTCAACCGCAAATTTGTTATATGCTACACCCCACGTACTCTTCATGATCCACAGAGAATGCCACAAGATTATGATCATGAGTTTGAAAAATCGTCAAAATACAATAAATTGATGCGAGTATAAAGAAAGTATTCGATCATAAGACGCAGAAGTAATACACAAATCCTAAAGGAAATCAAACAATGACGCCACGAGCTCGAGGGAGGATAAGAGTCGAGGCCAAGACCGTGATTCGGGGTGAGGCAATGTTGCGCGTGCGCAGCGCACGCTCCCATTAAATGTTTACGCTATTACGCTCGCTAAGGAGCAGGCAGCCAGGCAAGGAATTTAAAGGACCCTCACTACGACCCTCGCTCCGGAAACACACAAATCTTGCGCGCCAATGTCGCGACCCTTGATGGCATTTGGCTGCTGCTGCTGCCCTTTGCGCGCACGCTCAAGATCTATAGCCCTGACCCTGGTCTCAATGGCAACCCCGAGGTGAAGTTCAAATATGCATTCACATTTTCTAGCCTCACAAATGATTTTCTTATGCCTGCTCCTTTGGGGATTTGTTTTTGTTTCTGCAGAAGTGACATTTAAATGAGCGCGGGGTTAAGTTAAGTCCTGGTTCGCCGCCTGCGATCCCGTTTGACATCTGCCCAAACTGGAGTTATGAAGTTATGCACTAATTTCTGGCAGTTTTTAGTAATTTTTCAGCCATGAAAATGTCTTGCCCCTTGCTCTAAAAGATGTGTTAAAACTTGTCCCTCTACGTGCGAGCACAGCTGTGTGTGGGTTCCTAAGATTTTTAAGTGCTTCCTATAACAATAATTAAATATTCTGTTGAGATAGTAGAAACCCAGTATTGTATTTTCTTATTGTATTTTTTAATGATTTTTATTCAGATTTGGAAAATGGTAAATTTTGTTTTAGCTATTTTTGGCGCTAGACCTTCGAATCTGCACGAAATTGCGCTCAAGTGATATGATTTGGATAATCGATCGATAGAGAAGTCGTTTAAGCTATAAAAGTATATATTATTGGTATGAAAGTATAAACTTTGACTGAGACTTTCAGCAACATGTAATTGAAGAATGTATTCCATATAAATGACATATATCAGCCGCATAAGATTTTCATATAAGCTAAATACTTCTAATCTATAAGTTATAGTTTCCATTACAGAGTGAAAGCTTATCTTAAATTGAAGAAGGAATCAAAAACATTTGAAGTCTCGAATATAGTTGGTATTCTGTGTCGCATTTGATCTCTGCCATTCCTTGATTTCCGCTGGACTTTAACGGCAATTGCACGCTCATAAAAACTATAGATTATTGATATGTATAAAGACATCGTTCTATAGTGAGCGGATTCCGATTTCATGGCCATCGGCTTGTATAAGGCAACAAGGGAGACACTGTGAGGATCGGTCCAATTAGCACAGGACAATCGACGACTGGAGAAAGATAAAAAACTTCACTTCAACTAATCCGGTCAGTGAGTGATTGGCGTGCTGCGGCTCAGCCAGGATCTGCTTGGAGATTTCAATCGGCAAATTGTTGCATGAATGGAACTCGAATTCAGATCGCCGACAATATGAAAATGTCACGCTTATCGGTGCAAACAACGGGCGATAAGGACGAAGACCAGGCAGGAGACGGCGAATGAGGTCGGCAGTTGCCTTTGG